TTTCAAGTGCTGAAGAGCAAAGATGTCTACTTGAAGACTAAGGTGCACCTAACCCAAGCCATGGTATTTTCAATCGCCTCGTATGTATGTGAGAGCTGGACGATGAGCAAGGAAGACCGAGGAAGAGTTGATGCTTTTGAGTTATGGTGTTGGTGAAGAATACTGAAAGTTTCGTGGACTGCTAAAAAACTAACAAATCTGTCCTGGAAGAAGTGCAGCCAGAATGCTCCTTGGAAGCAAGAATGGCCAGACTTTGTCTCACTTATTTGGTTATATTGTCAGAAGGGACCATTCTCTGGAGAAGGATATCATGCTTGGCAAAGTGGAGAGTCAACAAAGAAGGGGAAGGCCCTAAATGAGATGAATTGACACAGTGGCTGCAGTGATGGGCTCAGGTGTGGCAAGGGTTGTAAGGCTGGCACAGGACCAGGCAGTGTTTTGTTCTATTGTACATAGGGTCACTATGAGTCAGAGCTGACTCAGCGGCACCTAACAACAACAACAACAACAACAACAAAGATGTATCTGACATCAGCAATGATATCCTTTGTTCCATGTCCTCTTCTTAATACAGGCTTACATTTCTGGAAGTTCCCTCTCAATATACTGCTCCATCAGTTTTGGATGATCTTTAGCAAGATTTTACTTGCATGTGATATTAATGATAATTGTTCGATAATTTCCACATTCCATTGCATCACCTTTCTTTAGAATGGCACAGATATGGATCTCTTCCAGTCAGTTGGCCAAGTAGTCATCTTCCAAATTTCCTGGCATAGATGAGTAAGTGCCTTCACAGCTGCATCTGTTTGTTGAAACATCTCAATGGGTATTCCATCAATTCCTGGAGCCTTTTTTTTTTTTTTTGCCACTTCTTTCAGTGCAGCTTGGACTTCTTCCTTCGATACCATCGGTTCTTGATCATATGCTACCTCCTGAAATAATTTAATGTTGACCAATTCTTTTTGATATACTTACTGTGTGTATGCCTTTTATCTTCTTTTGATGCTTCCTGTGTCATTAAATATTTTGCCCATCGTAACCTTCAGTATTGCAACTGGAGGCTTAAATTTTTTCTTCAGTTCTTTCCACTTGAGAATTGCTGAGCATGTGTTCTTCCCTTTTGGTTTTCTAACTCCAGGCCTTTGCACATTTCATTATAATACTTTACTTTGTGTTCATGACCTGTCCTTTGAAATCTTATGCTCAACTCTTATTTCCACATTTCTTTCTTTTGCTTTAGCTACTGTCAATTCAAGAGCAAGTTTGAGATTCTCTTGTGACATCCATTTTGGTTTTTCTTTCTTTCCTGTCTTTGCAATGACCTTTTGCTATCTTCATGGATGATGTTCTTGATGTCATCCCACAACTCATCTGGTCTTCAGTCACTGGTGCTTCAAGTCTATTCTTCAGATGTTCTCTAAATTCAGGTGGGATATACTCAAGGTCATGTTTTGGCTCTTGTGGATTTCTTTTAATTTTCTTTAGCTTCAACTTGAACTTGTATATGAGCAATTGATGGTCTGTTCCATAGTCAGTACCTGGCCTCGTTTTGACTGTTGATACTGAGCTTCTCCAGCCTCTTTGCACAGATGTATTTGATTTTATTTCTGTGTTTTCCATCTGACGAGGTCCATGTATATAGTCACTATTTATGTTGTTTAAAAAAATGTATTTGCAATGAATAAACCATTGGTCTTGAAAATTCTGTCATGAGATCTCCAGTGTCATTTCTATCACTAAAGCCACATTTTCCAACTACCTGTGATTCTTTTTTCTTTCCAACTTTCACATTCCAATAACCAGCAATAATCAGTACATTTTGATTGCACGTTTGGTCAATTTCAAACTGTAGAAATCTTCAATTTCTTCATCTTTTGCTTTGGTAGTTGTTGTATAAATTTGAATAATTTTCATATTAACTGATCTTCCATGTAGGGCTATGGATATTCTCCTATCACTGACAGCATTGTACTTCAGGGTGGATCTTGAAATGTTCTTTGTGATGATGAATGTGATGCCATTCCTCTTCAATTTGTCAGTTCCTGCATGGTAGAACCCTATGGTTGTCTGATTCAAAATGGTCAAAACCAGTCCATTTCAGCTCACTAATGCCGAGGATATCAATCTTTATGCGTTCCATTTCATTTTGACAACTTCTGATTTTCTTAGATTCTTACTTCGTACATTCCACGTTCTGATAATTAATGAATGTTTGCAGCTCTTTCTTCCCATTAAGCTTTACTTCATCCATGTCATTGAGGTCAACTCTACTTTAGGAGGCAGCTCTTCCCCAAAAAACTCATGTTAGTGTCTAATTCATTTAAATACCTTTCTTCATTCCCTCCCCACACTAATTTGTTCATAATCTGAATTCCATTCTCCTTACTGCATTTGTTTTAACATTTGAAGCCCATAATAACATTTAGTTTTTCTCATTGTCACTTTAAAAATCAGGTCTTATTCATGCATGTCTTCTTAGGAATGGCTGATGGAATACCTTACTTGTACTAGGAAACTCAGGACTTCTGCACTAGAAATGTATTCAAGTTTCATTCTCTCACTCAGAGCAGTGAGAGATCAAAGAGGACTGAGTGTCTCCTTATTTGCTAGTTTCTGCCTCTCCTGACTGCTTTGAGTATGTAAATTTGGGGAAGTAAAGGGCTTCCTGTTAGAGGGTGTGTATTTTTCATTTTCAAATAATCTGTACTGACTTCTTAAGGATTCTATTTCAAGAACTTTAAAAAGTAGATGGGTATTTTACTTTTTATAGTTATACTACATTCTGTATTTCATTTGGGCTCACACATGGGAAAATAATGTTTTACTTTACAGCTTCCAGCTGAGCTATGGGTCTGGCTTATTGCAGGAGGAAGTCTTTCTTTAGAACTGAGTTCTGTGAGATCCACTTAATGTGTGAAAACAGAGAAGGTAAATAAGACAGTCAAGGCCCAGATTAACCAAAAAAACCAGACCCACTACTATCGGATTCTACTCAGTGACCCCTCCTTGGGTTTCTGAGGCAGTATCACTATGGAAGTAGATTGCCCAACCTTCCTTCTGAGGAGTGGCTGGTGGGTTTGAACTGCCAGCCTTCTGGTTAGCAGTCAAATGCCTTAGGTACTATGCCACCAGAGCTCCTAAGCTGCGGGTAGAAAAATACAAACTTCTCACTGAATTCACCCATTTTTGGTGATTGAAAATAGAAACTTGTCTCCCAGTGAGTTTGTTCCCTGAGCAGGGAGCTCTGGTGTCAAGTATTGGCTTTACTAGAGCCGGACTCAGCAATGTATCCTGAAGGAGTAAGCTTAGATAACTTTGGTTTAAATATGCCTTCAAATTCACCACATCCCTACCACCATTATTTAATTGCACATATGGTCATAGGAGTATTCCTAAGGCTTTTTTGATCATGTAATTCTCTAGTCTTGAATTTTCAGTAGCCACTGAATCAGGTCTATTCAAATTCCAAAATTTGCCCCAGACCTTTATTTCCAACCTCATTTCCTATGACTTCCTTCCAGCTGCAACCAAGCTGGTCGCCTTGACTTTACCCTAGAATGTGGATGAGGGAGAGAAGTTTATTGAGTGTTTTCTACTTTGGAATTCCACCTTGTGTCCCAGATGGGAGTCTTACAGATCTTCTCTACCCACCTTTGTTGGGAGTCTGGGATGTTTCTTTGAAAAACCAAACCAAACCCACTGCCATCGAATCAGTTCTGCCTCATAGCAACCCTACAGGACAGAGTAGAACTCCCCCATAGAGTTTCCAAGGCTGTAAATCTTTATGGAAGCAGACTGCCTCAAGTTCCTATCATGGAGTGACTGGTGGGTTCAAACCACCAACCTTTTGATTAGCACCCAAATGCTTTATCCACTGCACCACCAGAGTTCCTTTGCTTCTTTGAGAGGGGGAGCATATTTGCAACTTTGGAATTGAAAGAAGGGTACAGTTTCCTGGAAAATTCTTTCTGGTCTTCTTAGGCCACTCTATCTGGTGCTGACTGGACTGACCTTCCTCCATAATCCTGGCATTCAAGTGTGCTGGTCTCCTGGCAGTTAGGGTTGGGATGGTCACTTCATCTTTCACCTTGTGTTTCAGGGCCCTGTTTGATTATGACCGGACTCGGGACAGCTGCCTGCCAAGCCAGGGTCTCAGCTTCTCTTATGGTGACATTCTACATGTCATTAATGCCTCTGATGATGAGTGGTGGCAGGCAAGACTGGTGACCCCACATGGAGAAAGTGAGCAAATTGGTGTGATTCCCAGTAAGAAGAGGTGAGTCGTCATGATCACAAGAGAAGCCTTTCTTTCCCACTTCCTGATATTTTACTTTTTTTTTTTCATATCATGTTATAAGTTCCTTGAGAGCAGGGTATGTGTCTTTCTCCTTTTGGTAGAGTTCGTGTTCATGACATAGTTTTGACTAAGTGGATCAAAAAGTGCTGCTGTGCCTGCCTTAGCCCACTGCTAAGACCAGTAACAGGACTTCTTTCTGACTCCAAAACAGGGTGGAAAAGAAAGAAAGAGCTCGATTGAAAACAGTGAAATTCCATGCCAGGACGGGGATGATTGAGTCTAATAGGGTAAGTGGGGATACCCAAGGAAGTCAGTCAATATATGAAGAGGAATGAAAAGAAGCTTGCAGTTCTGGATGATGTATAGGAGAACTGGAGAGCACAAAAGAATATCTCCTTTTCAAGGGGCTGACTCTGACCTATCAAAATACTGACTGCTCTTCAGAAAGCAGAGATGGAGCACTTTAAAGTCCATGGCTAGTCTATATTCCTTCCCTCTGGGTATCTGGCTTTTGAAGATGTATTCAAGTTGAACTGTCTGGAAGGCTGACTGGCTGGGGTTAAATTAAACTACTTGTGAGTGTTTGGCTGCAGACACCTGTTGGAGCTGTGGGGATCTTGACTATAACCTGGCTTCATTATCTAGCCAGGAAGGCCAGCCCCAGAGCTCCAACCTCCTTTCAGACCAAGTGAGGCATGTGGTATCTCTCCATTCACTCCTTTTCTTCTATAAGCTTCACAGGCGAAAGAACTTCTGGAGCACTAGAGGGAAGAAAGACATGGAGTAGATGACTCTGTATGTCAGTGGCACCTTAGGGCATGTGTCCAGGAGGCTACAGTGACTTTTGGTCTTTAGGAAGTACCAGTGAGTGTTGTGAGTCTGAATTAGGTAGAAACCTCTTACATCCCTACAAACATTTTTCTGTAAACATAATTTTCCTCTTACATCAACATTCATTTAATCTCATAGACTCCATTTGTGAAAGATGGTCTTTTATTTAGCTCATCATTGTCTTCATTTCAGTTTTTCTTGCATGCTTTAAAATCCATTGTTCTGTTTTTTTTTTCCTTCTGTCCTTCCCCTCCATCTTCATGTTCTTTCACAGTCGATCAAAACGAAACGTAAAAAGAGTTTCCGCCTCTCTCGAAAGTTTCCATTTTACAAGAGCAAAGAAAACATGGCCCAGGAGAGCAGCATACAGGAACGTAAGTAGCAACAGAGTACAGAGATCAGACCATCCACCACCCTGTCCTCTTTTCCTCATTTGCACCTTCCCTTATGAGAAAACTGGGAAAGTGTGTGTGTGTGTGTGTGTGTGTGTCAATGTGTACATGCATGTGCGTGTGTATCTGTTTATTTGCATAGAATCAGGGTAGAAATTGGTTTGCCCAGAGAGATGTTAAGTCTCATTTGTCCAGCCTCTCACTCACAACGAATATTGGAGGCTCTGAGGTAGAACTTTTTCAAGGGGCAGCCTACCAAGAAATCCTTGGAACTGGTGTTAGAAGTGCCAGACTGAGTTCTACTGTTGTGGTGATGAACAGTTTTCAGATCCGTAGGTTTAGAAAAATGGTTTAGAAAGAGAATGAGATCTAAGGACTCAGTGTTGCTCTCCTGGCTTCTTCCTCTTATATTTTCTTTCCCTTGATTTTACTCATTTATGTCAAAAAAAGAGCCTTTTCTTCCCTAGACACGTAAAGGTGGGGGTACTTCTTGAATTAATTGCATGTGCAGGAAGACATATGATAGCCACAACTGTTAACAGACTTTACTATCACCCTAGAATGATTACAAAGCCATTTTTCAAAATAAAATCCTTCCTGCTTAAATTATTTGACATGGACAGGGTGTTCCTCAAGTATCCAAATAAAAATTTATTGAGAAACACAAAGCTGGTTTGGTAGAAAAGGGCATAAAGTTGAGTTAAATTAATATTAAGAACCAATTTAATGCTGATAAATCTTATACTCTACCATATGCCTCAGAAATTAACTACTCTGGCCCTAACTTTAAACATTAGGTTGGGCATATGAAATATTTTCTCATGTTTCATCGTGAATTGTAAACATCCCTCATTTACCAGTGACTCTTCCATCTTATGTGGAGGATTCTTGGGGTCCTGGGCTGTTAGGACTGTTAGGAGACTGATGAATTCTGATAGGAGGTGTACTTTCTGTAGGCCAGTTTAGTGCATAGTCATGGTATATGTAGGCTGTTGCTGTTTAGTATAGTACTTGGAAGATACAAGGTTGTCCTCATCCAGATGGAGGTTATGACTCTTAAATCCTGGGTAGCTCAGTAAGGAGTAACAGATGAAGTTAGTTCTGATCACGAGTAATAGGAGACAGTCTGAGACAAAGTCCTGGGGTAATACCATTACAGTTTACCAGATGAGTTCAAAACACTCCATGCAGCCCAAACTGGTGAGGTATTTGCTATTCAGTGGCCCAGCTGGGGTGTAGGGAGGGTGCCTGCTGGATGAGAGAGTTTTAACTGCTTAGTGCTTGTTCTCCAGAAGCTGAACTCATCTCTTGAGGGCTACTTTGAAGGTCACGCCCCAGATTTCATGGAAGCTTTCCTTAAGGGACAGATTGAATCAGTATTGGGCGAGAGCTCCTTAGGATGGTGATAATTGTCTGCCTATCTGTCACACATAGATAATTTGCTTTTTCATGAACCCACAAGGGGAAATGCTGCTTTGTGGGGCAAAGGAGATACCTGGGTTCTACAACTCCAAATTTAGTCAAAACAGGTGCTCTAAACCTTGGAATGTCACTGCATGGTCCAGGAGGCCTAAAGGCTATAGATCACCTCAGAAAGGTAATTCATTCCAAGGTCCTCTGGCAACAGATTGGGCAGCATGAAGTCTAGATATCTTGCCTCACTCGGGATGTTGTTTCTGTAGCAAAGTTCTTAACCTCACTGTAGTTTTAGGTCTTCATAGTATTTCATACTTCTGTCACTAATGCTCACCTGGCTCTGTATTCTTCCTTCCCCTTGTCTTTTTTCTCTATTTCCTCTTTTCTCCCCAATTCTTTCTCTCCCTCCCTCCCTCCCTTCTTCCCTCCCTCCCTGTCTTTGCTCTTTGTGAAATCAGGACTTCCCTGGGTTAAGTGACGATTATTATGGAGCAAAGAATCTGAGTAAGTCAAAGTTACACACCATTAACTGTATTTCTGGCATGAATGGAAATACTGGGGGTGGGAGCACAGGGGCTATGGGTGAGGGTGAAGGGTGAGGGGAGGGTAGTGTTTGTGAAAACTCTTATACCACAGCAGAAGGAAGTGTATATGGGTCTGAGTGTCACACTTTTGCTCTAGATTCCTGACACCCTAATAAATACCTATCATTTATGTCTGTGTTTTCTTTTTGTACCTTCAAGTGGTAAGGAGATATCTTGGTGTCCTACCTTAGAAGTGAGGTGGGCAAGAAAGGCTACTCCAAGGGTAAATCAGTCAATCTCTAGACTGTTGTTAAGGTGAGGAGTGCCAGCTGGTTGGGATTCTTCTTCCAGTGACATAGCACTTAATGACTGGGTTTAGAAATTGTAGCTGCTACTGTCTCTCTAGCTGGGGACAACCTGCATCTGGGATGGCCCAGCAGATCCAGGGGCCTGAGCAAAGAGTTATGATCCAGCTTTCCACATAGCATCTGTAAAGAGCTGAACTGATGATAGTAGCCTCAGCAAAATGTATGGACTGTATTTCTCTAGTGACTTATCTCAGACAAAGTCTGACTGACCTCTGGATTCTGGAAAATAATGCTAGAGTAGAAAATGAAAGGACCTAGATGATGTGGCCTTAGTGTCCTTGCTGTGTGTAGAGATGCACCTATGGGCAGCCATGTTGGGTGGGTTTTTTCAACATATACTCTCCTTCAATAAATAACAAAGGGGTGAAGGTAAAGAAGTATCCTCGGGGCATCACCCTTGAGATTGTTCAGGATTTAGGCATATGTGGCAATTCAACCAGCCCTCCCTGGGGAACCACAGCATATCACGGTCTAGGACAGTATTGTCTTGGCTGAAACTAGCAGTGTCTCTATCCATAATGCATGTGTCCATGTCTCATTTTCATAAATCTGTCATCTTGTGAAGAGAGGTCTTTGTTTGTGCCAAACTGTGCCTTGTGTCTCCTGTGAGTGCCAGCTCCTCTGCTTGAACTTTCTCCACCTACACTCAGATACGGGCAAATCCCAATGGTCTAAAATAGGAGGGCTATTGTGTCTTCCAAGTGTTCTTGTTTGTTTGTTTGTTGTCTCTGTCTCTGTCTTTTGGTAGATGGAGGAGTATCCCCTCACCTCAAATCCCCGCCACCTGAAGCCAAGCCTGCCTTCTTGGTAGTGGCAGCAAGAGGGATGTTGGCTCTCACCAAAGGGCCAAAGCATTGTTCCTTGGTGGCTGCTCAGTTCACCCACTGAAGACTCAGTTCTGAAGCTTCACAAATTCTGTATTTCAGGGGCTGTGTCTGGGTAGGAAATTCGAGGGTAGCCTGGTCTCTGGACTTCTTTATGCTACTGTTAGTATCTTTTCTTTCCTATTGTTAACTTGGGAGATGAGTTTTGAGATAGGATTTGGAAATCATTCAGGTCAGTTATTTTGATTCAGATTAAGAGGGCATTGCTAAAGAAAATGAAGCTTGTAATATATAGGGAGGGACTTGGCAGACTGAGAGGTTTTTGGGGACAAGTATGAGGTGCTAAAGGCTCAGGATTAGAGCTGCACCTCCATGTTGGTAGCCTAGATGTGGCACACATCCTGTTGCCTGATTTGTTTGGCAGTTTATAATTTTTCTCCTGGAGCATTTGAGTATTGTGCTGTATGTGACCTCTCAGTGGTGTGTTCTGAATCGGAGTCTCTTTCTTGTTGGCTTGCAGAGGGAGTGACATCCAACACCAGTGACAGCGAAAGCAGTTCCAGTAAGTGTTTGTCATTCTCCCCCATGTTGTATAGCTCCACTGTTTGTTCCACCCATTCTCATTTCAGCATTGCATAGCTGCCATTTCTTTTCAGAGGCTAGTGCTTCTTTTAGCCATGTACACTTTGAGATCCTAGAAATGCTGTGGCCAGTTCATTCTCCTGATGGGATAAAGTTTGCTTTGTGGATTAAAGGAGAGTATAAGACTGCTAGTTCTGGCCAGGACCTGACTTAATAGCATATTTGGGGCCCTGGAAAGGTTGAGCTGCCGATGAGTACATTACTGCCATGGGCACTGTCGAGCATAGATGCAGCTAGTTTTATAGATTTGTTCAGAAACCAAAAGAAAATTGGCTTTTGTTAGATATTATCCTGAATCTGCCTTTCCAGGACACTGGAAACTAGATTAAGGCTTGGAGTCCCTGGGTGGCATCAGGTTAAGCAATTGACTGCTAGCCAAAAGGTTGGCTATTCATACCCACCCAGAGGCACCTTGGAAGACAGGCCTGGCAATTTGCTTCTGAAAGGTCACAGCCTTGAAAACTCTATGGAGCAGTTCTACTCTGCACATATGGGGTTACCATGAGTTGGAATCAACTTAATGGCAACTAACAGCATCCTTGTCTTTTGGCTGGGTTAAAAGATCAGAGAATTGTCAAGTTTTCCTTTGGAGATCCCAAGACAAGGGAAAAATTCAGATCTCATGAACTCTGGGAGCAGTAGCGTCTCAGTAGTCATGATGGCTAAAAGTCAGTTTAAAATCTGCCCAGGAGCAAAGCTCAGAAGCAGCCTATTAGGAAGCATCCTGTGGCTTGACACAGACATCACTGCCATTCCCAATACCACTGCCAAGCACTTGGAGACCTCCAGGCATCCAGCATCAGGTAGATTGGCCACTGTTTTAGCAAAAACTCATTATTGCTAGGCTATATGGAGCTCTACCAAGAGGAGAGAGCAGAGCTCAGCCTTGCTCTCAAAGGGCACTGAGGACCTTAGTCCACCCATGTGCCATTTTCTGGATCTTCCTTAGGTATAGGTAGACCCTTAAAAGGGTAGAGTTAGGGTGCAGCTTTGGAGATCTGCATGAGTGCCCTGACTTTCCTACTTGGAGATGGAGGGGATCAGTGTAGTGTATATTGACCAGCTGAAATTTCCCTTTGATTCTTACCAGAGGAAGAGGGCAACTGAACACAGTTAACTGTTACCTGTATGAACTGTTTGTAATCCCACACTAGCTTTTGAAACCTGTTAATTATTGGTCTTTGTCCATTTACCTTGCTTTGAGTTAGATAAAGAATTCACCCAAGGGTAAAGAAAATTTTATCTTTATACTCTCAAAGAACTTACTATTTGCTTAGTGAAGCACTATACAATAAAAAAAGAATGATAGATAATATATCTGCATGGCAAGTTGAATGATGTAAACACAAGAGCAATAAAAGTTCATAATAGGTAGAGAAGTCCTCTCAAAGCATTAAAATGAAGTCTATTCTTCCATGATAAATAAGATAGATATTAGTGTAAAGAATAATGAGTAGGGGCAATAGGAGCATACTTGACAAAGGTGTTTAAGCATTGGTATACAGGAGAATTTGACATAAGGAAGATTCACTTTAGTCAGTAATTAGAGATTATAATAAAGAAACTAGGGCTAGGTTATGAAACATTTAGCAAATTTTAGCTCAGATTGAAAATAAGCAGGAATCACAGGATGGGATGGGGTGTCTAATAATAACAATATTTTATGGATGTTTTCCTTCCACTGAAATGCAGAGTAGAAAGAATGGACAGTATATTATTACAGTATACCACACTAGAACATATACACTACTATGAACTGAAGAATTACATATGAAGAAGAATCAGTATGACTACACATTAATTTCAAAAATAAATCTGTTATAAATAGTTATCATTATGGTATATCTTTGAAATTTGTGCAAAATATTTTATATAATTGGCAAAGGTGATCTGATTTATCATGCTTCTAACAACTATTAAAAATAAGCTATTTTTATTAATGAATTTTACCATTTTCAAAGTATATAATAAAATAACAAAAAAGAACTGTTCCTAGGAGATTAGGGAGTTTTTTGGTGGAGGCTTTATGGTTCCTGGGTCATTTCCCTTTGCTCAGATATATTTTTCTGAAGAGAAAACTACTAGCACCTGCTCCAGAGGCAGTGCTTTCTCACTAAATGGAAAGCAGGAAGGACCATGGGATAGTTGTCAGTAGCCCTTGATCAGGCTGTTTTCTGGCAGAGGTGTGGGGTGAATGTTGTAGGGGCACAGAGTCAGATCATAAAGTATTAACATGTCTCCCTTTTTTGTTGCAGAAGGACAAGAAGATGCTATTTTGTCATATGAGCCAGTGACACGGCAAGAAAGTAAGCCCCCTTCTGAGAGTCTTGCTTTTGTGCTAGTCTCCTAGTCATAAGGCTCAATACAGTAGTTGGCTGTGGCAGCAGGGTGAAGACCCTGGAAGAGTAGGAAGGCATGACTCGCTGTACTCCTATTCCCTGGGTGCCTTCTACTTTGTCCCTAGTATTTTAGGGAAGTCCCTGCATTGTGCACTTCTCATTATACTTTTGCTTACTCCAGGGATACCTTCCAAAGGATAGATTTACTAGTAAGACAAAGGTCTAGTTCAGTGTGTATAGCTGCTGCTAAAAGAGAGGTCCTGGTTGTACCCTTCAGTGGCTGTTCTTTTTCAGCTCAGTTGCTACTTTCTACCCAGAGATTTACCCTTGTGTGTTGGATAGTGTCTTAGTTTCCTAGTGCTACCATGACAAAAATACCACAAATGGATGGCTTTAGAGAACAGAAATTTATTATTTTGAGGTTTTGGAGGCTAGAAGTCCAATTCAGGGCATTGGCCCTAGGAGACATTCCTTTCTTGTCAGTAGCCCTAGACATTCCTTGACATTCCTTGGCTTGTAGTGGCCCCTCACCTGATCTCTTTCCCCTCTGTCTGTGTCTTTATGTCTTATTCCACACTCAAAAGTGATTAGGTTTAGAATCCACCCTACTCTGTTATGCCCTCCGTCACGGACTGAATTGTGTCCCCGTTAAAATAGGTGTCCACTTGGTTGGGCCATGATTCTCAATGGTTTGGCAGTTATGTAACAATGTAACTATCCCCTATGATGTGATCTGATGTGATCAGCAAATCAGTTGTAAGGGGAGTAGGGTAGGATACAACATCCTTACTCAGGTCATAGCCATGATCCATTCATTGTAAGGGGAGTTTCCCAGGGGTGTGGCCTGCATCACTTTCTTTTTGTTTTAAAATTTTATAGTGCTTTGGGTGCAAATTTACAGAGCAAATTTGTTTTACATTCAACAGTTCATGTACATTTGATTTCATGCCCCGATTACCATCCCCAACCATAACAAAACTCTCCTCGCCTCCTGTCCCTGTGCCTACCCCCTCCCTGTGCCCTTCTTAACTGCATTACCTTTTACCTTACAAGAGATAAAAGGAGAGAAAAGCAAGGAGAGTGAGAAGGACTTCAGTACCACCAAGAAAGAAGAGCTTGGAGCAGAGCTTGTCCTTTGGGCCCATGGTCCCTGTGCTGTGAACCTCCTAGACCCAGGAGAAGATTGATACCAAGACACATGGAAATGCCCTAGGAATACTAGGCCTACAGATGTTGAAAGGAGATAAAAAGCTTCCCCTAGAGCCAACAGAGTGAGATAGCCTTCCCATATAGCTAGTGCCCTGAATTCTGACTTCTAGCCTCCTAAACTGTGAGAGAATAAAATTATGTTTGTTAAAGCCATCCACTCATGGTATTTCTGTTATAGCAGTACTGTTGTTGTTGTTGTTGTTCTGTGCCATTGAGTCGGCGCCAACTCATAGCGACCCCTCCTTGGGTTTCCGAGGCAGTATCTAGATAACTAAAAACACCCTCATTAACAAACAAACACAAACCTCTGTTTCCAAACAGGCTTACATTCACAGGTACAGGAGTTAGGACTTCAGCATATCCTTTTGGGTGACAGAATTCAGTCCATAAGACTGGGATATAAAAAACCGAACCCATTCCCACTGAGTCAATTCTGACTCATAGTGACCCTATAGATATTCCTAGTTTCAGACTTGGCTTAGATTTGATTATTCTCAAAATAAAGGCTCTTTAAGACATTTGCAAATCTTAAATTCTACTTAAAATTCATAGAATGACTGTGGACGCTCACCCCATCTGAGTTGTACCCCCAGGGCCTGCGTGTTTTAGGCAAACTCTGAAAACAGGCTGGCTGATGGGGAGTCTCTGTTCATTATTTCACTGTTCTTCCTCTCCAGTTCACTATGCAAGGCCTGTGATCATCCTGGGCCCAATGAAGGACCGAGTCAATGATGACCTGATCTCTGAATTCCCACATAAATTTGGATCCTGTGTGCCACGTAAGAGCTCAGGAAGGCTTTGGGAGTGAGGCATTGATGCCTTAGGAAATCATTGCCTTGATGTTTTATGGAAAAGGTCTGGGATCAGATAGGACTATCTGGGAACAGCAGTACGTGTAATGTCATAGAAGAGGTTAGGTAATAATAGATTCCCAAAAAGCTGGAGTGGTTGGGAGGACTAACATCAGGCTTGGTTGCTTGCTCACTTGGAGAGAAGTTTGAGTGGTGATAGTTGTATAGGATTGGAAAAAATGTGAAGCCTCAGCCAAAGTAATGTTGATGTCATTGGATCAATAGTTTGTTGTTGTTGTGTGCCGTCGAGTCAGACCTGACTCATAGAGACCCCTCCTTGGGTTTCTGAGGCAGTATCACTATGGAAGTAGATTGCCCAACCTTCCTTCCGAGGAGTGGCTGGTGGGTTTGAACCGCCAGCCTTCTGGTTAGCAGTCAGCTTTGGCATCTTTTGCTAGGCTTTGACTAAGAAAACCTCACATTCCTGGTCTAGTTTAAGCTAAAGCAAAGATCTCTCTTATGTATGGGACTTGGAGGTTGTAAAATAAGTAGGCAAGACAAATTTCTTCCCAACTGCTTTTTTTCCTCCATTCTTCTGAAAAAAATTAGAGTGGCTGTGTGACCCAGGTGAGAGAGGAACAAATCAGGTCTTTGGCTTGAGGCAGATCATTGTCCTTGAGCTATACAACATTTCCTTTTTTCCTTCAGATACTACCCGACCTCGGCGTGATAATGAAGTAGATGGACAAGACTATCACTTTGTGGTATCCCGAGAACAAATGGAGAAGGATATTCAGGACAACAAGTTCATTGAGGCAGGCCAATTCAATGATAATCTTTACGGGACCAGCATTCAGTCAGTCCGGGCAGTTGCAGAGAGAGTAAGTAGAGAGGAGTTTCCTGGGTTAAATAAACCTCAAAGGGAAGTTAGAAATGTTTGTAAAATATGAGGCCTGAGTACCTCAGAGGTAGGATCTTCCAGGCCATGAGGTGGTCCTGGGTTTCCCTCTGGTGGATAATTGGAATGCCACTGGATATTTGCTTCATGTTAGATGGACAGGGATTGGGTGGAGTTGATTCAGTCTCTGCTTTTTCAGGGCAAACACTGCATCTTAGACGTTTCTGGAAATGCTATCAAGAGGCTGCAGCAGGCACAGCTTTACCCTATTGCCATTTTCATCAAGCCCAAGTCCATTGAAGCACTTATGTAAGTGTTTGCTGAGACTTAGAAACTCCTAGCTAGGATGGGGACCAGAAAAGAAATGGAGAATAAAGTGACTTATGGGCAAGGGTGGGACTCAGTGAAAGCTCTGAGGAATGTCTGCAACCCAGCTATGATCACTGGGTACTCCTTCTGTTTTGATTGCCTATGTATCTATTCCTAGTTGGGCTTCTGGACCAGGAAGTCTTGAAGAAGGAGTTGAGCCATGAGCCACTGCTGCTCTGAGAGGACAACTAAGCAGATTTTTAAGAGCCTTGAACAATCTTTTATGTTAATCAAAACAAAGAACCTAGTTTGGTACAACTTTTCTTCTGTATCTTTTTTTGGCAGGGAAATGAACCGACGACAGACGTATGAACAAGCAAATAAGATCTATGACAAAGCCATGAAACTGGAGCAGGAGTTTGGAGAATACTTTACAGGTGAGAATCCCTGCTGCCCACCCTGGGGTAACATGGCAACAGCCAGACATCTATTTCTATAAGTGTCTCAAAGAGGCTTAGGCACAGTGCCTAATGGATGCTTTTGAATGCAAACTTTTCCAAATGACTCAAATTCTCTCCATTTAACTATAGCACTTCAGCCAGTTTATAGTATAAACTACCATCAACAAATGCTGTCTTGTATTGTTAGTTTGTTTATATTGTCTTGTCCCTACTAGATGGTAGACTCCTTACATTATTTTGTTTCCCTCCCTCCTAGTCTCCTCCACCCCTCAATACATTTCCCTTGCATGTTTTAGGTGCTGAATAAATGTTTGTTGGTGATGATGATTCCTTGGTGTGGTGTTGAGGTTGTCTGTCAGCATGTATGTGTGCATGTGTATGTGGTTATATTGTCACTGAGTTTAGAATTTCACTTCCTAAAAGCTTGGGAAGGCTACTATGTAATATGTTCCTTACCTTTTAATGTACAGTAACATACATGTGCGGGTTGGTACTGAGTACATTCTAACTGGTGGTGCTGCTAGGTTAACTGGGGAAAGAATTCATAAATGTACTTTGGGTCTTTGGAGCATCTGTGTCCTTGTTTCCTGGGCTGACGGCTAATGTAGAGCATTTGTGAGGGACTCAGAAAGGACTGTGTCTTACCAGAAATTGTTTTTCAGCTCTTTCTCTGGATAACTGGGATTTTCCAAATCTTTTAGCGAGGCTGCTTTAGAATTACAAGCTGCTAGCCATATGGTTGCTAAGAGCAACATGAGCGGCAAGGTCAGGCATATAATGGGTGCTCAGTAAACTTTTTTGTTTTTTAATAAGCACTGTTTTCTATTCATTGCTTGTTAGTCTCACTGTTTCTAAACAATTGATTTCAAGCCCTAGGCTTAGAGCTCTTAGCCAGTTTTCCTTACTGCTCTAAACAGACAGCTAGCTAATCAAACCAAACTAAACTTCTGTGAGTATATTCTTCATGCCTGTGGGTTGGGAAAGGCCTGTGAGTTGGGAAAGGCAGAATTGCCGGGTTTTGGGAGGTTGCTGTGGGCCACAGTAATAATTCTGTTTTCCTCTTCACTTTAGCCATTGTACAGGGTGACTCACTGGAAGAGATTTATAACAAAATCAAACAAATCATTGAGGACCAGTCTGGGCACTACATTTGGGTCCCATCCCCTGAAAAACTCTGAAGAATCCCCTCCAACCATTCTCTTGTGAACAGAAGAAATCAAGTCCCTCTTCCCTCCTCCCTCTTCATTCCTGTCCCCACGGGGAGAACAAATGACTACTGTTCTTGTCCCCTTTTTTAGATATGTCAAAAAAATTGAGTTTTCTAGTCCTGTTCTTTTTTCTTCTTTTTTTTTTTAAATTTTTGTTTTGTTTAAGTTTATTTTTTGGGGGATGATACCATCTCACTCATCATGTGACTGTGCCCATTCCTGCATGGACCTTTCCCAAGTGCTAGCACAGGTGCAGATCCATCAGAATCATTGTTTTCTTAAAAATCAAGCAGAAGCAAAGAGAAGAGAGGAGGACTGATGGAAAGACAGACTCTGGACAGCTACACGGATTGTGAAATGAGCTATATGCACAACATGATGAGATGCTCCTGGGGCATTTCTATATATCTGTATTGCTGTCTTGCACCTCTGAACAGTGCAACATAATGGCAAC